AGGGAGAACATGTCATGAATGCCCCAAATGCCACTTCACCCAAGTCTAGAGAGGATTTTTGAGGAAGTAAGATACAGAATGGTTAGGAGAGAGAGGCAAGAGGAAAGCATTTCCAAACCCTTCAACATGAAGATTCTAGTTTTGAATTCTCTCTTGAAGGAAATGCAGAAGGATATGGATGAGAAGATGGACGTTCTTATAAATATTCAGAACAACAAGCTGTAAGTGTGACCTGCACCCACCTCTCCTCACCTCTAAACAATCTCCTCCCTTCACTTTGCTGAATGTCTTCGGGGTACAGAGGACCCTCAGCCTCTTCAGGGAGTTGTCTTGGCTATTGCCCAGTGGTTTGGAGTCAAGGCCTTCCATGGCCACCCATGTCCTAATTATCCCCTTGTCATGTTGGAAATTGTCTCTCCAACTCTCTGCCCCTCCCTGACCCCCCAGTCCCCGTAGAAGAGGATCAAAGGAGCAGCTGGAACTCAGGCTGATGGGAAAGACTGACACAGACCTGCAGCTCAGGCCCAAGAAAATGGACGGAGCTGCTGGAGTACCATTAGCTCGTCACAAGAAGACGTTGGCACCACCAAAAACAAAAAAGGACCCACTGGATTCCCTTCATCAATGTAATACCTGCTGTGTAAGTGAAGCCCTGCCCTGACCCAGCACAGGTGCCAGGTCCCTGGCTCCTTCCCCAGAGCTCTTGCTGTGACGGGACTGGTACCACGCCTCTGCTGGCCCCTGGCTCTTCCGCAGTCTGCAGCCCTCCCTTACCTGCCTGGCCCTCTAGGCCTGTGGAGCTACTTAAGCCATGACCATGTAGGACTTGACCCTGGATGCGCCCGCTCCTGAGTTCCACTGTATGATTCTCTCCTTTCCTATAGCAAGGTCTGATGAGGTGCCCAGCAGTCTGGCCATCTTGGACCAGGGAGAAATGATCTTTCTTGTGCCGTTTTTGTCCTTTGCAGGAGAAATGTTTGTTGTGTGCCCTAAAGAACAACTGCAATCAGGGGTAGGTAGATCCACAGGAGACGTGCATGATCTCGGGCTGGTGCCTTGTTATCCCAAAGCGAGTGTGCTCCAGCTGCATCCGCATCCAGCCCCTCCTGTGGTTGTGCAGGGAGTAGGGATTGTGAGCAGACTCTGCCCCCGCCACAACCACTGAGTCAGAGAGGATGTGGCACTAGGAAGGAGGACTTGGGCGGCCCAGCCTAGGGGCTGCTGTCCGGAGGCCCCCCTGGCAGGGTGGGGGTGCACCATCGGCTGCCAACCCGACCCT